TTTCAGAGTGAGGCTTGCCTCCTGGAGGAAGGTCATGTGATCTCTAGAGTAGCCTCAGAACGAGGCTTGGCTCTCAGAAGGAAGAAGCTACTTGCTGCACAGAGAGGGCGGACATAGACTACTATTGAGAGCAGGTACAGGCACTGCTGCAGGGTTGAGAGAGTGCTGTTAACCCTTTGTGGATAATATAGAATTAATGATATGTCCTGTTTGTCTAGTTATAGAGAACAATTATTTCATTTGCTGCCCATAGCAACTAGTCAACTGTGTATCAGGGACTTTACTCCTCAGTGTTTTTTTAAAAAGGTCTTGGGCTGTCTAATAAATTGTGACCATTACACTGACAGATACTTGAATATCAATTCACAAATCTGATGTATATATAAATAAATATATAATATTATTGTATTATTGGTATATGGATTTTATTTTACTCTGTGTGTGTGTATGTATGTATGTATGTGTGTGTGTGTGTGTATGTATATATATATTATCATTATTATTTCTTTTATATTCTGACGACGGCCGCTGTAAAAAAACAACCCAAAAAACAGAAAGGGCACCTCCCTGAAATGAGACGGGAACCTCCCTGAAATAAGGTTTTGCAGGTTGGGATGTCTGGATTTGTGGGCACTCCTATTGTGAAGTTCAGGCAGAGCTCAGTTATTACCTCCCCCTGTTCAGTGACCGTGCATGTTGGGCACTACCATTGCTGTTTCCTATATATGTGCTGTACCTACGATGTTGAATATCATACTGCCCTATGCTACTGTAGCGCTCACCCCCGAAGGAGCCGCTGTGTATGAATTGAGGTTCTCTTACCTGTTTGTTCCAGCCACCGGTCCCCTTTGTTCAGCAACAGCACACCGACACTCACGGACAAAATGGACTCAAGTCTTAGGGTCTTTTTGTAGATTTATTTGCAAAGGTCAACAGGAGAGAGGATTTGGGGTCTGTAGGATGCCCTGGCGGATTCTTCAAAGGACTGCTTTCTCCCCTAGCAACCGCTAAGGCCCATAGCAATGGGATCCGGTCAGAGTGACCAATGGTTTCTTCTAGAACACTGCGAACAGCCAGGATGGTCCAGTAACTTATAGGAGAAGGGTAGCTATCTCTGGACTCAGGTAAGAACCGCTGGCTTCTTCTAGAACAGTTACCTGGAATAGGGTGAGGGATCTCCCTTGTGGGTCCCAGACGTACTCTCTCACCAGCTCCTCTGCGGTACCCCTCAACAAGAAGACTCTTTCTCCGGCCCAGCTTCCATCAGGTCTTTTCCTCTTCAATATCTGGAATCTCTGTGCCCTCAGCATCTGCAACTGCCAAGGAGCACTCCAGATTAGTAGTAGTATCCTCTTAGAACAAGGCATCCAACACCTGCCACGTGTATGGGGCCCAAGCAAAGTTCCTAAAGTGCCCTCAGCCATACCAATGAGTCATCCTACTCAGGGATTGGTCAGGGTCAGGTGCATGGTCATAGTCTGAGGATGGAACCTCACCTCACTGTATACCATGGCTCCCTTTTCCTCAGCAACAGGAGGAGCAATCAATCCAGAAGACTCAGGGACACCTATGGAATGCAGAGCTCTCAATAATCAGTATCTAGACTGGTTACAGTACAGACATTCTCTAGATTTAGTAGTGACATTCTAGAGCAGGGGTAACCAAACTCCGGCCCTCCAGCTGTGGTGGAACTACAAATCCCATGAGGCTTTGCAAGATTCTTACAGCCACAGACATGACTCCCGGAGAGAGATGCATCATGGGATTTGTAGTTTCACCACAGCTGGAGGGCCAGAGTTTGGCTACCCCTGTTCTAGAGGGCGCTACACTACCAAGAGACCTCTAAATGTGTTCTGCCATGAAATGGAGGAGAGCGTTCAAACGCCCCTCCCCCTGCATCACCATTGATTATGTTATCACCAGTAGCACGATTCACATAGCAGAGCTCACTTGCTTATGCCCCCTCTGCTCTGAGCATGCCTGTTGATCTTCTCCAGGCAGCCGCTCTGATAGTGAAAATAGGCAGAAGGATGAATGGAGAAACGTGGGAGAGATGACAGAGGCAAGGAGCGGGCATAGCTGATGTGCTGTGTGAACTGTATTGTTTAAATTGAGGAGCAGAGAAGATTTGGGGAATGCTGCAATGCACTGCAACTCAAAATTACCTCCCCCTGTTCAGTGACCGTGCATGTTGGGCACTACCATTGCTGTTTCCTATATATGTGCTGTACCTACGATGTTGAATATCATACTGCCCTATGCTACTGTAGCGCTCACCCCCGAAGGAGCCGCTGTGTATGAATTGAGGTTCTCTTACCTGTTTGTTCCAGCCACCGGTCCCCTTTGTTCAGCAACAGCACACCGACACTCACGGACAAAATGGACTCAAGTCTTAGGGTCTTTTTGTAGATTTATTTGCAAAGGTCAACAGGAGAGAGGATTTGGGGTCTGTAGGATGCCCTGGCGGATTCTTCAAAGGACTGCTTTCTCCCCTAGCAACCGCTAAGGCCCATAGCAATGGGATCCGGTCAGAGTGACCAATGGTTTCTTCTAGAACACTGCGAACAGCCAGGATGGTCCAGTAACTTATAGGAGAAGGGTAGCTATCTCTGGACTCAGGTAAGAACCGCTGGCTTCTTCTAGAACAGTTACCTGGAATAGGGTGAGGGATCTCCCTTGTGGGTCCCAGACGTACTCTCTCACCAGCTCCTCTGCGGTACCCCTCAACAAGAAGACTCTTTCTCCGGCCCAGCTTCCATCAGGTCTTTTCCTCTTCAATATCTGGAATCTCTGTGCCCTCAGCATCTGCAACTGCCAAGGAGCACTCCAGATTAGTAGTAGTATCCTCTTAGAACAAGGCATCCAACACCTGCCACGTGTATGGGGCCCAAGCAAAGTTCCTAAAGTGCCCTCAGCCATACCAATGAGTCATCCTACTCAGGGATTGGTCAGGGTCAGGTGCATGGTCATAGTCTGAGGATGGAACCTCACCTCACTGTATACCATGGCTCCCTTTTCCTCAGCAACAGGAGGAGCAATCAATCCAGAAGACTCAGGGACACCTATGGAATGCAGAGCTCTCAATAATCAGTATCTAGACTGGTTACAGTACAGACATTCTCTAGATTTAGTAGTGACATTCTAGAGCAGGGGTAACCAAACTCCGGCCCTCCAGCTGTGGTGGAACTACAAATCCCATGAGGCTTTGCAAGATTCTTACAGCCACAGACATGACTCCCGGAGAGAGATGCATCATGGGATTTGTAGTTTCACCACAGCTGGAGGGCCAGAGTTTGGCTACCCCTGTTCTAGAGGGCGCTACACTACCAAGAGACCTCTAAATGTGTTCTGCCATGAAATGGAGGAGAGCGTTCAAACGCCCCTCCCCCTGCATCACCATTGATTATGTTATCACCAGTAGCACGATTCACATAGCAGAGCTCACTTGCTTATGCCCCCTCTGCTCTGAGCATGCCTGTTGATCTTCTCCAGGCAGCCGCTCTGATAGTGAAAATAGGCAGAAGGATGAATGGAGAAACGTGGGAGAGATGACAGAGGCAAGGAGCGGGCATAGCTGATGTGCTGTGTGAACTGTATTGTTTAAATTGAGGAGCAGAGAAGATTTGGGGAATGCTGCAATGCACTGCAACTCAA